GGAATGGGTTATCGGAATAAATGTTTTTGTGTTGCACTTTTTATGTTCCACATTTTTGGAGTTCCCAATGTTTGTAACGAGGAGATGGAGCTTTTTCAATGGTAGTAATAGAGGGAAGGGAGAACTCACACCTTGTTGCAGTGTTCCTGAGCCACATGGAGCACTTTCTCAAGAGAGTCATCCAGTCATACATGTAACTGCGAGTCAGACTGAGGTGTCCTTTGTGTAAACAAGCCCTGGGTCACATGCTAGATCCAGCAACATCCTGTTAGACTAACCCTTGTTCTCAACTTTGAAACCTAACTTCACTAGTACACTGCTCCTACTGGCTGGTTTAGAGCACTCCTCTGATTGGCTCCTGTGCCTTTGGAGTGTATTTCTCTGCTCTCTGTGTCACATATGCCCCTTTTAAGTGCCAATTTGGCAAAGCATGTTGTGAAATGTTAACACTGTCCTGTCATCCAGATGCCCTCACCTGATGGTCCAGGCTAGCCTGATCTCATGAGATCTCAGGAGCTAACAGGATCAGATCTGATTAGTATTTCGATGGAAGACTATCAAGAATTCCATGGTCACTACGCCGAGGCAGGCAATGGTAAACCACCTCTGAACATCTTTTGCCTTGAAAACTCCCAATGGATTGTTGTAAGTCAACTGTGACTTGGCAGCATTTTCCGCCACCACATCATCCAGATGGCTGAAATGTTTAGCCGGTTTAACCTGAAATTCTGAAACACTTTTAAGCTTGAGTCCAGTGGCACCTTTAAGACCAACCAAGTTTTATTTAAGACTAGGAATAAGGCCCATTGTGGAAATAAATACAATGAGCTCTAGAAAGAGGCTCTGGGAGAGTGCCAAGGCCGTGGGCACTCAGCATCAATTTGCTATGGCAACCTCAGCAGGATATAAGGACACAGAGTCCACCATTTTCTCCAGGGGAACGGATCAATGCCATCTGGAGAGCAGTTGTAATTCTGAGTGGTTTCCAGCCCTCACCTGGAGATTGGCAACAGTGGTTCCGCATGAGGGAATAGCTAGTTCGGAGGGCAGAGTCTATGGCATTGTACCTGTCTGAGGCCCCACTCCTCAAACCTCACCCTCTCCAGGCTCCATCTCTCAAATCTCCAGGAATTTCCCACCTGGAGTTGGCAACCCTACCCCTTCCCCACCAAGCATCAACCTACCTTCATTTCCCCCTCACTGATCAGATTTCCATCTCCCCCATACCAGCAGCCCCCACCGTGCTTTGAAGTCCTGACTGCCACATCACCTTGGCTGTCATAGGGGGGCCAACTCAGCAGGGTATAAGGACACAGAGTCTACCATTTTCTCCAGGGGAACTGGTCAATGCCATCTGGAGACCAGTTGGAATTCTGAGTGATCTCCAACCCTCAGCTGGATTTTGGCAACAGTGGTTCCCCATGAGGGAATGGCTGATTTGGAGAGCAGAGTCTATGGCACTGTACCTGTCTGAGGTCCCATCCCTCTTCAAACCTCACCCTGTCCAGGCTCCATCCCTCAAATCTCCAGGAATTTTCCACCTGGAGTTGACAACCCTATCTCCTTCCCAGCCAGCATCAATCTACATTTCCCCCTCACTGTTCAGCTTTCCATCTCCCCCCCTCACCTGCAGCCTCTGCTGTGCTCTGAAGCCCTGACTGCCACATCACCTTGGCTGTAATGGGGGGAGGGTCAGCAGGGTAGAAGGACACAATGAGTTTTCTCCTATTTCTCCAAAATAGGTGTGTAAAGGGCCTTTTACTGTCAGAAACCAAGCTTGGTTGACCAGCAGCAGGCACTTAAGGGAAAGTAGGCTTCCCAGCTCTTAGTAGGGAAATACCTGGAGATTTGGGGGGTGGATCCCATGGAAGGCAGCGTTGGGGGGGCGGAAGGACTCAGCAGGAATTTCCAAGCCTGGAGCTGGCAACCATACTCAGGACTGGGCCCAATGAGTTCCTCACAAAGGCGTAGAAAGGGTTTTGTTCCTTTGTTTTACTGGTAGAGCCGAGCTTGGTTGCCTAGCAACAGCCACTGAGGGAGAAGTTAGAATGCTTTGGCTGGTGGCCTCTATTCAGCTGAGGCCTCCCCTCTCCCCTCCCCAAACTCTGGCTTCCTTAAACTGGCTTCCTTACTTGGAGCTGGCAACCCTATGAGTTCCTCACTGAGGGAAAACTTTGTGCCACACAGGAGCTAAGCAAGAGAAGTGTGTTTCTCAGGGGAGACAGAGCTTCTGACAGAGAACAGTGGCTGAAAGGGGAGTGGGCAGGGAAGAGGAACAGATCCAGCCAATGGCACGCCAGTAGTCTTAACTGGCAGCCGACAGGCCAATGGCTGAGGGAGCGCATGCAATCTCACCACCCCATAGGACAGAAGCCACCACCATTCAGCTTTTATATATAAGAGAGATAATGACCTTTTGTGTACATGCACACCTCTTCAGATACAATGTATTTTAAAGGTGTCACTGGACTCGAAACTTTGTTCTGCTGCTTCAGACCAACACGGCTATCCACCTGGAACTGTTTTAAGCTGTCATCATACAGCATTCCTTCTGAAATGGAGATCAGGGATCCCCAATGTGGTGCCTGTGAGTGCCATGGTGCCCATCAACCCCTTTCTTTGCACCCAGTGTTTTTAGAAAGTGGATGTGGCCAGGTGGGATTTTTGCCCAGCAAAGTTTCTGGTTGGCCACTGTAGATTTGATTGGCTGTGCAGATTTTAAAAAAAAAAACAAAATTGTTTTGGCAGCAGCTGCTGGGGCTGTGCCCAAATTCCAACGATGCCAGCAGACTTAAAGTGGTTGGGGACCCCTGTGGGAGAATATAGGGGGAACGAAGGGAAATGGGTGGGGTTTCACTCACTGAAAATGCAAATGTGTATCCTTTCCAATTCAAACTTCTTGCTTATTCAAGTACAGCCATATCCCCCTGAAAGAGAAGAACCTTGTATTTCCTGTATGTTCATTTATATCCAGAAGTTATGTCAAGACTCTCATATAGCAACTGTGATAAGATTTCTTGCAGTTGACTTTAAGGGCTTTACAATGTACCTACAGCTTCTGGTTGATGTATGCAACTAAGTCTGGCAAAACAATGTTTTTTTCTTAGATCACCTATTGGGCCACTTTTGACTTTGCTTCTATACATAAGAAAGAGGGCCATGGCTCAGTGTGGTAAAGCATCTGCTTGGCATGCCAAAGGTCCCAGGTTTGAAATCCCACCAGCTTCTGGAAGGTTCAAAAAACTCCACTTATAACCCAAGCTGTTTCTCAGAATCACCACCACTCACACACATTTTCCCACTATTTTGTTTGGCAGCTTAGTGAGAACTGGTAGCTGCATTCTAGATTTCTGAGATGGTCAGTGATGTCACTCCCCAGTCAGTCTGTGGTTGCAGCCAAAAACAATTCTATTGCCGTCATCTGATTAGGGAGATCAAACCTATGAGTTGCTCTGCCATCGCTATACAGTTGCAAAGGGCTCAAAAAGCAACCTGGGTAGATTCATTGGAGTTTCCCCAGAGAATTGCCACTGTTTTTGAGGCAGCTTCAGGTCTGAATCACCTTAGCTTTCTATTAAAGAGTACCATGACTATTTCCAAGTACCTGTCCCTTTTTTAGTGGTTACTGCAGCATACAAGAGAATTCCAGAAGAAAGCTGGTTTGTGTTTCAAAGATTACAGCAAAGCCTTTAACGTTGTACACCAGGGGTGGCCAAACCTGCTTAATGCAAAAGCCACATAGAATAAATGTCAGATGATTTGAGAGCCACAAGACATGAACAAATATTACACACTCATTTTTTATTAAAAATATGCAAATTTGCTTTTTATTAATATTAAATCAAACTGCAAAAATGAAACCAAAAGGGGTAAAAACAGATATTGATAATGATATTTATTTGTCAAATGATAGTTATTTGTTTGCTAATGATACTTATTTGTCTAAGAGAGAAAGAGAGAGAGGTGGAAAGAAAGAATGAAAGAGGTGGAAAGAGAAACAAAGAAAGTAAATAAATGGGGGAGGGAGAGGGGGAAGGAAGGAAGGAAGAGAGAGAAAGGAAGGAAGGAGGGGAGGAAGGGGGAAAGAGAGAGAGACAAAAAAAGCAAATAGATGAGGGAGTGTG